CAAGTCAAACGTTTTTGGAAGATAATCTAATAAAGACCTGAAAATGGTTACAGAAAGCTGGAATAAAAAAAACGCAAATCCCGCCTAACACAGCCTATGTTTTCGCAGGAATTTTCAGGATTGCAGAAACTTGCTACGACAGTTGAAACCTTAAAGTGTAGTCGTGAATTTATTGACCACAATCATGGAGTCTATACCCAAAAAAATACATACAATCCGTACAAATTCTATTCAGAAAATACAATAAAACAATTTGATTTGGACAAAATATTTGTATGTAATTTGAAAACACTATATGATAAATATTTCGTAGGTAGACCTTTTGGCGACAATATTATTTCTATTTTTGTTTTGGAAACACTTAGACCAAAACAGTGACTACGCAATAATATTGTAAATGCCGGAATTGTCATTCTTTTAGATGAAAACAAATGTACCTACAAAGCACTCCCCGTACAAATTGATTTTTATGGTTTCCAAAACCACCAAAAATTAGTCAAAGCTTTCTCCCATTCTTTAACCTCCATACTCATTCCACACATTATAGATAATCACTATTATCTTATAATATTAAATATTAAATCCAGGGAACTATCTTGTTTGAATCCTAGACAAGCTAAACACGGCAAGTCACCAAGCCTAATTGAATACTGTTTGAGAGATCAAGAGATTTTCTTATTCAAGCAGGAAACATGGTCTATTAAAAATTTTTCGTGCGACAAACAATATGATTCTTATGAATGTGGTATATTTGTACTGCAATATGCCGAAAAATACATAAAAAATCAGCCCATGAAGAATTTAGAAGAAAAAACTTATATAGAAAAGAACTTCAAATCAAAATCTTGAGATACGCAACGACAGATATATGCTTTCATTATTCTTCAACAAGAAATTTAGACGAGCAATGTCTTCAATGTTTAAAAAAAAATTGCGGAAATTGTATGAAGAGTATTTATTCGAATAAAATATATATTAGTTTTCTTTGCAAGTTATGTACCGCTGAAAATAGGCTAAAAAAGGAATAACGTTCTCAGGCATCTTCGGATTTAATATTCTACTTAAATACCAAATTTTTATGCGGAAATTGATAATTTTTGATATTTTTAAGGATTACAATTTTGAAATGCCGGAGTATTTTACAACATGCCCTTTGTATAATTTAATTGCAATTAAGTTAGACTTTTTTTGAAAAAGTACCTAACAGACATAAAGTCATTATATACAGATTTAAGCTATTTATATTTAAGAATCAAGTACAACTTGTTAAGAAAAAAATGCCAACTTATTTTAAAATGGAAATCCGAAATAGCTAAATATTTTTATAGTATTACTGAACCGAAGAGCAAGTATGTGATAAAAATTGTTATGATCAAAATATGAATTAGAAATTCAAACAACTTATACTACCTTTTTGTTGGATTAAAAATCTAAAAGGCATAGAATGCTTTTTATTAGTTTAAATTATTTATAAAAACATATTTATATGAAACTGATTTAAAAATAAAAAAAAAAAATAAAAATACTGTCCCTATTTATTTGTTGTTTTTATATGTAGAATTTGCGAGTCAGTTTTCTGACTTTACCACCAGAAGTGGGGACTTAATGTATAAATCATGGTACAATAAGGAGGAAGAACAGCTTCTTAATGCTATAGAAGTACATCCTTGAGGCTATGTCCACTTCCTGTCAAATTTCCATGCAACAAGTTCTTTTCACTTATTCAAAAATTTTCTTCATTTTTAAATCACTAAAACAGCGGGAAAATGAATTGAATGGTTGCATTTTCTTTAAAAGTTCATGGCAAAACTGGCGAATAGCTTTAATGTGCGTCTCGCAATGTACACGTCTTCAAAACATTTTGAAAATATTCTGTTTTCAAAGGCCCAGAAAATCTCCTCAATACCGTTTTTTTTTTTCAACAATTTCCAATAAAAGTCCTTTTTGCACAAATATTTTCTCAAGGATGGCCCATTAACGTGAATTTTGTAAAAATATTTTCTCATTGACTTTTTGATTTTCCATACATTATTGTTGTTTTTACCTCATTGAATTGTTTGACCATTAAGTGTCATATTAAATAATTTTTTATGAAAAAAAGACTCAAAAATGAACGGATGACATCGGCTGCTGCTGTTGTTATTAAAGTTTCCAGGAGACAAGGACCAATGTTTCAGACAATAATGAAGACAACGAAGTTACAACGTCCTTTGGCTACTTTGTGGCAGTAACTTTTGCAACGCGAAGTTGAAGTGTGGAGAGATATTAAAAAGTTGTAAGTGGAAAAAAAATGCGATGCAAGTTTGTAAGAGGAGAAATGTGGATGTTATAGAAACCTACAAATAAATTTGGATTTTATTAATATTTTTTAAGGAAAAAACCTAGTGAACCCTACAACTTACCAGACGTGCTGATTAAAGCTGCAATTAAAAAAAATTATTTTTGCGAATTCAAAGTATTTTTTTAACCGTCTGCAGGCATCAGATTTGCATTAATTTGCAATGGAGATGCCTGACACTCTTCCTGACATGGAATACGACGTACCCGAAGTCATTGCATTAACTTCAAATTCATTCCCGCCATTACCAACTACAAACAAACAACCTAAAGACTGCGATCAAAATGAAAGAAAAAGACAACGTCTTGAAAATGTGCAGTCACCAGTGAACATAAATATTGCCGACCTAAGAGAACGATTATTGAGTCATAATCCTGATGATCCTAATAAATTTGGAATCCTAGGTGCTCTTGCGGACGTTGACATAGGTATTGCAGCTCCTGCCGAAAACAATGACAACGCAAAACCCCGCATAACCAGAGATGGGAGACACAAATCAAAAATGTCTTGGTGCCCGCCAATTTTTGTCTTCAATGTAAATATGATGACGTTGATTGAGTCGCTTAAAGCATCAATTCCTCAATCCTCTTTTAAAATTAAAAACATAAACAAGACAAAGAGCAAAATATTTCTGTCGGATCCAAAAGTTCATGCTTCTATGATGGCTATACTGAGGGCAAAAAACATAGACTCCTATACATTCACGCCAAAAGAGCTGAAACAAGATTCAATTCTGATCCGGGATCTCCACGCATTTTCAGACATACAGGAAATCAAAGAAGAGTTGGACAGTCTAGCTCCTGACACAGTGGCAAATGTTTCAAAATTCAAAACCCCAATGTCTATAAAGAAAAACATTGACACTGGCTTATTTTTGGTATCCTTATTGCCAGGGAAAAAAGCTAGTGAGATTACACACATAAAAGAACTAAATAGACAAATTATCAAATGGGAAAAACCGAAGAAAAGAGATCGCGATCCTCAGTGCCGCAGATGTCAAGGCCACGGCCACATCTCCCGCAACTGCAATTGTCCATATAGATGTGTTAAATGTGACCAAAAACATCTTCCCGGTGAGTGCCAGCGAACTGCTACAGACTCATCAGAACCTTACTGCGTCAATTGCGGTAAATTAGGCCACCCGGCTAATTGGAGAGGTTGTCCGTCTTATAAAGCCTATGTCGCAGCCAGACGGAAAAAAGTCGCCAACGCAATGGAAATTAAATCGATCGCCCAAAATAACGGGAGTAGAGCACTGAACATGTCTATATTATCTCCGGGTAAGACGTTTGCCAGTCATTTTAAAACACCTGTAAAGGGATCAGAAACTTCTCAAAAGCCACCTCTAATACAGCAATTCCTTGAACTTGCCAATTTATTTCTAGAGCCCGAAGTGTTTTCTCTAGAACAAGAAATTGAAATATTTCTAAACACCTTCCAAAAAAAGTCAAAGGCAGAAGCAAAGCAAGAATTCATAAGGCTTCTCACAAAAGTAAAATCTATCTATGGACCATAGATCCTTTTTATTTCTCACACTCAATGTACGCTCACTAGTTGATTCTAGTAGACAACTTGAATTAGAAAATATGCTCCATCGTGAGAACATAGATTTTGCTTTTATTCAAGAATGCCATCTGCGGAACAACAAGAAAATGTGGATTAATGGCTATAACTTTATATATGACAACTCTTCTGTTGGAATTGCAGTAATTGCGAAAAAAAACATAACATTTTCCAGAGTCCCTTTTAACGACGTCGGTATTGGTACGTCGTTCATTCAAATAGAATTATTGAGAAATAACAACACCTTTAAATACCTCATTGGCTCTGTCTACATTCCTTGCAGTATGCCAGTAAACTCTCTTAAATCAGATTTAAACAAATTGCTACAACTTTGCAATAACTTTGATGGATTTATTCTTGGAGGTGACCTCAACTCAAAAAGTACCTCATGGGGTGATCTACATGAAAATTCTAATGACAAAACGCTGCGCGCATGGTTGGCTGATAACTCACTAGAGGTTACACGTCTTTGTGGTTCCACTCCATCGTTCCCAAATGGTTCCTCATTCTTGGATCATTTTCTAATTTCCTCTCATTTGGTCGAACCCGGGATTCAAAACTGCAATATACAAACGCTGCCAACTTTCTCCGATCACTTTCCCATTAAACTGGCATTATCATTTTATCGCACAAATCTAATTTTGAGACAGCCAAAGTTCTTCACCTCATATAAAAACACAAATTGGAACAATTTTCGACAAGAGCTAAATTTAATGTCAACGCAAATTATGCCGCCAATTAATAGGAACCTATCAAATGGACAAATTGACGATGTTATCGAAGACTTTAACTGCGAACTTCTTCGAATTCACAACAACCACTCAAAAAAAATTGCCCTAAATATCCATAAACCGCCTTTCTCCGATAAGGTTCAGAATTTTCTCAAATTTAAACATAGATGGCAGAAGGAACTAAAGAAGATTTACCACCGTACTGGAAATAGGATAAGCCCTGAATACACTATACTTTCTAAGCAAATCCAACTTCTTAAAATTATAATTCAAAATCTAATCAATACTGAATCTGCGCAGGCGTTCAGTAATAAATTGAAAACTATCAAACCCGGGCCATCAGCATTTAAAAAAGTAGCTCAACTTACCGGCAAAAATAATTCATCATTTTGCGAAAAACTCCAAATAGGAAATGAAACCATTACGGAAAGTTCCGAAATTGCTAATAATTTTAAACAATTTTATTCTGAAATTTTTCAAGAAAATGTACCCACAAATCCTGTAGACGATCTTAGCTCTAGAGTCACAACATGCATCAACGCCGTTCCACCGCACATCTACTCATTTGACGATAACTTCAATTCATTAAACAATCCAGACTCTTTTCACTTTACCAATCCTGAAAAGATAAAAATCGCAATTACTAATATCAATTGTAAAAAATCAAGCGGCCCTGATGAGATTTCCAATTTTCTCATTAAAAAGTTCCCAGATAATGTTATAAATCTACTTACATGTCTCTTCAACAACTGCATCAACAATGGATATTTCCCATCACTCTGGAAATTGGCGAAAATTGTTCCCATAAAGAAGAAAATAATTAATGACAACACTTTGAGCAATTTTCGTCCAATATCACTATTGTCCAACATCGGGAAGTTATTTGAGTCGGTCCTAAAAGAAAAAATGGAAAACGAATTACCAGTTAGTCCAATCTCAGCATACCAATTTGGGTTCAAGTCTGGCCATTCCACACAACACGCGCTTCTGAAGCTCCACAGTGATATAACATCAAACCTAAGGAACCAAGTGTCTACTGTAGCGATTTCCTTAGACATACAAAAAGCATTTGACTCGGTATGTCACACAGGAGTACTTTACAAGTTAATCGAAATTGGTTTAGACCCATACCTGATCAAGTTGATGGCAAGTTTTTTCACTGCACGAAAGTTTTTAATTAATATCAAAAACACGTCGTCAGCCACGGGCTTAGTAAACAGTGGGGTGCCGCAAGGAAGTATTTTAGCCCCTTACCTTTTCAATATTTTCCTGTATGACTTCCCCCATATCGGCCAAGGCTCTCAAGCGATTTTATATGCCGACGACTGCTTAATTTACGCACACAACATTTCGCCCAAGAACGCCTTACAAAACGCTAGAACTCATCTCCAGAGCATCCATGAATTCTATCAAAAATGGGGAATCAAAATCAATGCCGATAAATCCGTAGCAATATGTTTCCGGAACGCTTCGGGAAAATGCCCCAGAAACGTTGTTCCAGAGAGTAAAGAACTTCAGCTGTCTCTTGAAGGAGTTGAGATTCCCTTTAAAACATCTCTCTGGGTATTACTCTCACCAATTTGATGAAGTTCAATAAACACGCACGGTCCGTCATGCAGAAGACAAAAGGTATATTAGTAAAGTTTTCATATCTATTAAATAGCAAATACCTACCACAAAACACGAAGTTACTTCTCTACAAAGTTGCAATTAGATCTATCTTAGCGTACGGGTTTCCGATCTGGTTCTCTATTTCCCCAATAGTGGCCAAGGAGTTAGAAATTCTAGAACGCAAGATTTTAAGAAAATGTGTCAACAAAAGCTACATTTCACAGGAAAAGAGATACAGCAATACTTACATATACAACACGTCCAGGGTTGTGCCTTTTTGTAAGTATATCCAAAGCCACCAGAAGAAATTCGTGGAAAAACTCGAAACCCATGAAAACTTACTAATGAATGAAATCTACCAAATGGAAAAGCACATATCGTGGCCAGAACCGTATTACCTCTCTCCAATTGGTATATTAAACGAACCAGCCACAGATGTCAACAACGAATACACGCTACCTCCTTTTTACAGCAAATCAGCACCTGGCAACCATAGAGGTTAAGCTACAAAATATAAAATTAATATTTATGTATATATTGGTATAATTCTTTTACAAATTATACTCACCAATAATTATATTATTAAGCTCTAAACTGTACCTGAGCGCATTTCAAACCTGTGATAAAATTTATACAAATTACATTTTAGTAATAGTCATTTAAATAATCTCCATAGACTACTATGATCCCTGTTAGTCAATTACTTAACAGAACTTTGTTTGTTATTTAGTTTTTATGTTTGTTTTTATACCTTTATTTATTTATTTACAGACATTCTCGCTCTGTTCGTAACATTTGAGGCCGTGAGCAAGCCTCTCTCATAATTTCAATCTGTTTTTACTTTAAACATTTTGCCTTTTCATTCAAGCAATGTAGCATAATCATATATGTCACGATTAAGTTAGAACAAGACAACAATAGTTCTAAGGGTATACTGTTAACCATTCGTATTGTAAACCTATCAAAGAAAGAAGAAGACTCAAATAAAGAATTACTTACTTACTAATATTTTTTAAAAGACAGAACTCACCAACGTGGTATTTTTAAAGGATAATAGCCTGCTTATAAATCTGGATTTTTTTTTAATACATAAAATTACTAAAGCCGACCAAAAAACTTGGAGTTTTTGAAGAATTTTGAAAGGAAATCAGACTGCCAATAAGAGATTTTTAAGGAATTTATAAAGGATCAATAAATTTAGATTTTTGGAAAATTTTTAAATGGCCGCAGTCTCTGTTAATATTCGTGGATTTTTTATATGGTGATTTAAAGGAATCAATCATACAATCCGAAGGAAATCATATTTCCAAACTTCAGGATTCCAACCCTATCGGTTCACTCAAATACAAATTGTACAAAATTCAGTCGGCCCAATTACGGTTGTCGTTTCTATAGTCGTTGTCGACTTTATGTGCAAGTCGCCCTCACCGTCGCTTTGATTCAAAAATGGTATTACGGTAAGGCATGGAAGCGACATCGACAGTTTAAAATAAAAGTTGGCAACAATTATAAAAAAAACGTTGGCAACACTCCCTTGTTATTGACAAAATAAGATTTTTTTTTGTATTTTGAATTCTAATTTCGACTCTTTCGTAAAAATAAAAAATATAGTGAAAAAATTAATGTTATAAATGCGTTACATATCTTAAGTTCAATTGAGGATGATGAGAAGAATGTATTAGTAGTGCAGTGGCGAGTGTTAAGGCAGCAAACAAACATATTTGTATTGCCTGACTCTTGATTGTGCAGTTCCAAAAGTTTATACTGCACTTTCAAGAGTTCAGTAGTTTCTTCTTTTCTTGATGACTTTTTATCATGGTTTGTTTCTGGGCGATCGAGAAGCTTGGATAGTAGTTACACATCAGTCTCGTCATCAGCATTGTTCACTGGCTCATTTTCATGATCTATAACGTCTGTTACAACTATGTTTTCCGTATTTTTTACTCCAAGTGCACGACCTGGAGTCATTTGCTTAAAATGCTGTCTTCACCCTTATTGAGCATAATTGTTTTTTAGTTTTAAATTTTAAATCTTTCCAAACCTAGAACTTAAGAAAACTAACTAATAAAAACATACAAAAATAAATTTAATTTCAACATATTTTTTGCCGGTCTCTAATCGGTGACCTGTTTACATTTAATTTTGCAATGGATTCCAATCTGATTTAAAATTAGCTGGAAAATTACCTTTGGTAAACCCTTTTGCCAAAAGTATTTTTTTTTTTCAATTCGGAAACCAACATTTCGAATTGTTTTGCTGCTGTTATTTTCATAATCAAATACAAAAAAGTTACAATATCAACGTCGACTAAAAAATACAATGTCGTCACAATTTTTTACGGCGACAGATTTTCTTAAAAATCGACTTCACGTCGACTGTTGTATCGACAATTATAATAGCAATCATTTGTCGCTATCGACAAAAAACGACAACCCTAATATCATTATTGTCGCCTCGACTTCATTTTGCGACGCCGACGACAACCATAATAGGGCCGAGTATCATGTAGTACACACGAGTACGAATTTCCAAAATTTCCTACATAACCCTATCCTACTCTCCAACAGTAATCTTAATTTCAAATTTTAGGATTCCAGCTCCTTCGGTTCACCCAAATCCAAAATGCATCGAATTTAGTACCATTTACTACACATTTCCGTAACAATCTGTATCACTTAATCCAATATATATCTCACAGCTCTATCGGTTTACCAAAACCCAAATAGTACCAAATTTAGTACTATTTAGTACACTTAAGTACGAATCTCCAAAGACTTACATACAGCAATCCCTCAGTAATCCCAATTCAAAATTTCAGGATTCAACCCCTATCGATTCACTCAAATACAAATTACAACAAATTTAGTACATTGCAGTACACATAACTAGGAATTTCCCAAAATTTACTACATATTCCAATCCTGCAATACAACAGGTCATGATTCCAACTCTATTGGTTTTGTCAAATATTAAATTGCATCGAATTTAGTACACATAAGTACGAAATTCAAAAACAGCCTACAAACCTCAGTGCAATTGCTACCTTTTTTTTTTTCCAAATTTTAGCAGTCCAGCTCTATCGGTTCATCCAAATCGAGATTTTGCCAAATATAATAACATTTAGTACTTTTCGTGCACATACTTAAGTACACACTTTGAAGGCTTAACTCTAATTTAGTAAAAACTCTTAAATTTTTTCAAAATTGTTCTCAGAGGTAGGTATTTTTACCCTGATTCTGGTAAACTATTTTTTCATGGGGGACGGACCCGGGACACCAGATTTTTGACCCCAAAGTTGGAATTGTGCCCGCTCTCCCTTCCGTCTGAGCTTGTGAAAATTTTTACGTCTGATCATCCATCTAAATCGTCATGTGAACGTTTAAACCCGGCCTAGGTTCCTCCAGACGGGGGTATTTGCCTGAATTTAGCGGCTATCTGAAAACAGAGAATAAACTTTACCCTTAACTAATTGCAGATTGATTGCAAATTAAAATTTACCTGTTTGGGATGTTGCCAAACCACGCAAATGTTTGGGACTGATTTACGCAGTGCTACAACACAAATACCAAATGACTGATATGATATTTGTGTATACTACGACAAATTTGTTGCGGGCGCGATACGGCCATGCTGCGAAAAAAAATGTTGCTTGGTTCGCTCAGTGTGGCATTTTTTCCACCGTGGATGCCACAATAACCACCTTAAAAAATATCAATTTCCAAAATAAATCATAGGAGAACCTGGGTGCATTGTTGTGGAGGGATAGATCTTCTCCCACACAAGTTTCCCAATCCCTCGTTGCGATGCCGCCAGCGATAAATTTTTGCCAAGAATATTAAAGCTGGAAGGGCGTCGTTATTTTACGGTTTTCATTGCTGAAAACCAAAACCATTGTAATCAACCTGCAAAAGAAAAGAAAATTATGTTAGTAATGGGAAATAGATGTCGGAAATATATATAAATTAAAATATAAAAAAATTCTTAGCCAATTGCATGTGAGTATGCGCTCAATGCTAGAGAAACTAGGGTAGGGAGTTAGAGGCAGAAAATTTACTTAAACATACGACATAGTAGAGAGTCGGTCGTATAACGTAAAGACATACGCTGGGTGAGACGTTGAGGAAAAACCAATGGAATATGAGAAAATTGGAAAATTTGTTCTACCAAAAACTGACTTGGAGAACATTTTATATGCCAAAATATTCGTAAGGGCTCCCACTTTCATTTGGCATTCACAGTTTTTTGGACGTTTTTATATGGAGGCTTCCAGAGCCAGATTCCCGTTCTGACCACCAGTGGAATATGAGAAAATTGGAAAATTTGTTCTATCAAAAACTGACTTAAAGAACATTTTATATGCCAAAATACTCGTAAGGGCTCCCACTTTCATTTGGCATTCACATTTTTTGTACGTTTTTTATATGTAGGCTTCCAGAGCCAGATTCCCGTTCTGACCACCAGTGGAAAATGAGAAAATTGGAAAATTCGTTCTACCAAAAACTAACTTGGAGAACATTTTATATGCCAAAATACTCGCAAGGGCTCTCACTTTCATATGGAATTCACAGTTTTTTTGGACGTTTTTATATGGAGGCTTCCAGAGCCAGATTCCCGTCCTGACCACCAGTGGAATATGAGAAAATTGGAAAAATTGTTCTACCAAAAACTGACTTGGAGAACATTTTATATGCAAAAATACTCGTAAGGGTTCTCACTTTCATGTGGCATTCACAGTTTTTGGACGTTTTTATATGGAGGCTTCCAGAGCCAGATTCCCGTCCTGACGACCAGTGGAATATGAGAAAATTGGAAAATTTGTTCTACCAAAAACTGACTTGGAGAACATTTTATATGCCAAAATACTCGTAAGGGCTCCCACTTTCGTTTGGCATTTAAAGTTTTTTTGGACGTTTTTATATGGAGGCTTCCAGAGGCAGATTTCCGTCCTGACCACCAGTGGAATATCAGAATTTGAAAATTTTTGTTGTATCATAAAATGATTTGCGATGTTATGTATGGAATTAATAACTGGGGTATGAGATTTCATTATGGAACAAAATGTGTTTATGTCATGGACTTTTTCATTCATAATTTTATAAATTAATTTTGTTTTCAAATCGGTTCCACGTTTTTTCTCTGATGCGCAGTTGAAAAAAAGGTATTGAATGTGAAATTTCGATGTTCTGAGTCACCCTGTAGTTTTGGAGAAATTCGATGTTATCGATAGTTAGCAACGTTGCTAACTTCACGCAGGTTGTTTATATGAAAATTCACACAATCACGGCGCCGGCGAAAATTTTGTCGGACGCCGCGAACTCAATTAGCTTTATTTATATTTCAAGGTGGCCACACTTGTACGAATTTTATGTGTTTTAGAAAATAAAGTTACTTCTAACTTTAAAATTTGTTATGGTCACTCTACTATCTGTTACTTCATCAGCTGCAAGGTAGACATCTACCTTGATCAGCTGTTTTATAATTTCGTCGGTATTGTGTTCCATACGACGAATTTACGCGGCTTATTTTGTCGCCGCGTTCCTAGCTAAGGTGAGAGTGCACAAGCAGTTTTTTTGACTGCCTTATTTGTCGAGGAACAAAGGAGTTTTAGGTTGACCTAGTTCGATTTTGTTCTTTCCCGAAGAAGCCAGCCCATATTCTCATCTTTAGAAAAAATTAAATCAACTGGTAGTTTTACCTTATCTTTTTATTATACCTTGTGTGTGATAGCAAGAAATATGAACCATATGTGAAATACACATGAATAATAAAAGTGACAGCACATATGAAAAACCTATATCGTCTGATAGCAGTTTAAATACTTGAAAATGATATGTCGTCAGATGAATGGTACAATAAGGAGGTAGAACAGCTTCGTAAAACTACGGAAACACAGACCTGAGGCTATGCCCGCTTCCTGTCAACTTTGCATGCAACACGTTTTCTTTTATTCAATATTTTTCCTCATTTTTAAAATCAGTTAAACAGCGGGAAAATGAATGAAATACCTGGATTTTCTTTTAAAAATATAATCTAAACAGTTCTATCTTTTAATTACATGGCAAAACTGGCTAATTGCTTTAATGTGAGTCTCGCAATTTACGCGTCTTCCAATCATTGGTTTTGATAATATTCTATTTTTCTAAACAATATATACATACACAAAATTGGCAGAAGTCGGACACACTTAGAAATAAATTGTAATCAGCTGGTAGCTCTAACTTACCTTTTCACCATGTCAGATGTATGTTTTTCAAAAATTGTAAAGATGTGATTGCAAGACTTTACCTTCATATTGTACATAACGTGTAGAAGAAGCTTTAAGTTAGCATAGATATCATGGCCCAACAGGTCAGGAGGAAAGCCTTTCTGCCTTCATTAACAAAAAATAAAATTTTTTGCAATGAAATACAATATATTTTTCATTTATGAAAAAAGTCCATGCAAACGTTTTTTAATCTTTTATTAGTTTTTCAACACAATGTATTTCATATGGATGTCTCTTGGAAAATTTAACATTTTACGATTTTTGTTGGTCTATACCAAGGTATATTTAATAAGGTGTAATTGATAATTGTTAAGTCCGCACTATAGAGACTCGGGGAACAAGTGCCGGCGAAGCTCTCCCAATAGAGCCAGTACGTCCAATACGTACGTGTGACCGTCCAAAGGTTATAGGGGGTTAAATAAAAAGAAAATAAAACACAATAGTTTTAATATAAAAGGTTCAGCCAATTGCCGTGTATTTATTGTGTGGTAAACGATATTACCTTTTTTAATACAACGATATGTACAACAACTTACAATAAAGCGCGGATGATAGCTTGCGATTCAAGCATCGATACTAATTCAACTCTTTGGTTGTGTTGACATTTAGATGTCTAAAGGGTTGGCGGCATGTCAAATCAATCATATGTTCTATTGTCTATTCTACTACAACAAGGATATAGTAATTAGGAGTAGACAAATTTCAACGGCTATGTCCTTCTAAATTAAGAACTGGAGTTTTAACTATTTTCAACCATCAATTCTAACTTAAACAATAATCGTATGGTTTTTAACTTTTTTATTTTTGTTTGTAAACTAAATTATCAATTTCAATTTTAGAAGTAAAATTTCATAATTTTTTTGAAACAGTTTCTTATCCAAATTTTTTAACATGCAAATTGGTAAAACACTATCGTTATCGGTGTTTTATTTGGATTTGTAGAACTGCATATTGATTCCATTAGGAATTAACTTAGGCGAAATTTTTCAGAAATTTCATTTTGGATTTCTTTTCTATTGACTTGGATGGGACATTAAGAGCCTTTTCATTTATCTTCAGTACTTTTATAGCAATAACCATTGTGGGCTATCTAAGTGGTGGACACATATGTAAATCGGGCTCTTACGATTGCTATGACCTTGGTTGATCACATAAGTCTAATCCGTATGGTTATGTATATTGTGGCTCAATGTATGGATTCGGCAGCAGGTGCGTGTCTTCTTAAACTGCTACTGGACTAGACATATCACAATGGTGTGCCCCAACTGCGTAGTCGAAAATATCTATGAGCACGGTATCGCATTTATACTTTGATTTATGTAGTTAGGGCTTCTGACGCTAGCAGTCTGGACAATAGGTTCATTTAATGAGGGTATGACAGTAACTGTTTACGAATGAGTAAACTTTTGATCTCCACAGTCAGTTGGAGTTAACGGCTACTGCGGCAAAATTTTAAATATATGTTGGTAACTTCCAACTGACTGGAATTAAATAAACAACAAATTGATTTGCAAATTTTGTTGCTAAGCATATAAAAATTAAGCACCGACACAGTTCGTCTTGAAATCGCACCCGCAAAAGTTTAAAGTGCTTTACAGTGACAAGTAAAAATTAAAAACAATAAAAACTGAACATTTAAATTAACAAACATAATTACAGAACATTTTCATACAACACACAACAAACATCATAAAAATATTAGTCAACAAATATACAAAACGAAGAAAGATCAACCATTAATCACTTCAAAATTTACAAAAAATATATTAATTTCTACACAAAAAAACCATACATAAAAATTAAATTCATTTACAGACAAAAAAACCATATGTAAAAATTACAATTCCACAAAAAAACATACATAAAAATTACACCCATTGTTATATTTGATCAACACATAAACATAATTTGAATTTACATACAGAAACATACATTTGATTGCCACATAAAAACCAAAACGTACCACTGAAAACTAAAACAAACAACCCGCAATTGTGCCTAAATACCCTACTTGAATAAAGATTGTACTTCAATTGAATTTACAATATTAAATAAACATATTTTTAATAAAAAAGGCATCCCAAAGGTAAAGTAATATACATTTAATCCTTCAACGCCGGATTAAAGTGCAGTTTTCATAACAAATTACAAAATATAAAATAATAGATTATTAACAAAAATTGAACAAAAAAAGTTTAACCGTTGTACAAAATACAAAAAAATGAACAGTGGTAAAAATGTAACCGTGGTACAAAATTCAGAAATAAGAACAATGGTGCAAAGTGGAAACATTACGAAAACAATGGTGCAAAAACGAACAGTGCAAAGTGGTACAAAACTACAAAATACAAGAATACCCACAAACAATTAAAAAAAAAAAAAACATTTTTACAAAAAGGAGACCCAGCATATTCCATGAGAAAGACCCGAAAAAGCCAAGAAGGACCAAGAAATTCGTCAAAGTGAGTACTTGTGGAAAGTTTTTGTATTTTTAAAGACACAAAAAGCATTTTTTGATTTAACATATCATTAATATTTGTTCTGAGCCATATATGCAAATTTCTTTGACACTTTTTTGGAATCTGCAGCTTGCCCCATATTCTATATAAAAAAGTATATATATATTTTTTTTTTTTTGAAAAAGTTGGCGTCATTACAAATTTATAAACGCCATTTTTTTGAAATTAGCTGAAGGTGGAGTTCAGGCATTTAACTTCACCATATTTGTACATACAGTTTTCTATATGGAAGTTTTT